TCGGAGGAAGGTGATTTTTTTTTACGGGATGTACTTTAATGTAGTCGTCTGGGGAATGAAGATGTCTGAAAAACGGTTCAATACAAATACTAAAGACATTAGAATTGATGCATTTCGTATAAACTAACGTCAAGAAGACATCTTTTTAGTTTTTCTTCTCTCTCCTTTTCTTCACTTCACTCTTCTCTTTGAATACACACACACAGACAGACACACACAGACAAACAGACACACACAGACAAATAGACAGAAACACATATATATATATATATATATGATTAAAACGAAAGATTTTTCACGTTTGCTTCTTATAATATATGGATTTAACAGCCGGGTTAATGAAATTTGAGGAATAAAAAGATAACAATATTGGCCATAAGATTGATGATGTTCATTATATATTTCTAAAAAGCCACCCTATCGGGTAACATTTAAGCTAGCTCCGGGCGGAGGGCTCTTGATTAGGCCATCCTCACAATAGATAGGAAGGAGTAGATGCGATAGAACTCAAAATTGATCGCTGCATTTAGGTATTGCATTAATATTTAAGCTTACCTTTGAAAAATTCAATGATAATTTTTCCTCCACTACGTAATTTAAAGACAGCTTGATGTCCTTACTTTTCGTACAAACAATTATTTTTAATTCATGGGTGACTATTATATAGTGCTAACCAACTATTCTTACCTATCATATATTACCAATTATCTATTCATATCTATCATATATTACTTATAGTTTATTCCTAACTATTTATTCGTAACAAGAACCAGATAATAAATTTGATGTTTCTTATTTCTGACGATTAATTGAATTCAGGTTAATATTCGAAAATATATTAATGGTCATAAAAAAGCAATTCAGAGAAAAAGAGAAAAACTGGAATGTGAGGGAAAATGCCAGGATAGGGTAAAAAAAAGAAAAAATAAGGAATTTAATAATTATTGGGTGTTATATTTTCAAGTACAGGCAAGCCGGAGATAATTTAAAAAAAAAAAGAGATAAAAAACAAAACAAAAAACCAACTTCATACTTCAGTTCAACATATATGAATCAGTATAACATTTGGCATTTCATGACTAATAAGATTAAGAAAGCTTGGGAAATATAGCCGCCATTTTTGTTGTTGTTATTAACGTTTCGGTCTTTGTGTCATCCGGCCTTCATGAAGTGAGGTAATTTCGAACTGAACCATTTATTTAAATTACGGAGGGAGATGGATCTCCTTCCGTTGTCAATGTGAGAATCCTTCCAGATTTTAAGAACGAACGGACAGACTAGCAGAATTCACCATATTTTATATATAGACTAATACGATGGTAACATTGGTTTGGCGTTGTGTAATGGTTAGCAAACTTCTCTTACTAGAACAATTACCATGTTTTCGGCCTTGTGCCACATCTAAGCTACACTTAGAAAATCATTTTCGGCATCTCGGTGTGGTGTAATGGTTAGCAAGCTTCTCTTGCTAGAAGAATTACGACTGATTAGTGATTACGATCCTCACTGGGTGCCCCGTACTTTTGGCCTTGTGCCACATATAATCTATGATTAGAAAATCCCTATGTATTCATGGGTTTCTTACTTTAAACATGGCCTTGTACCATATTCCATTTGAGTAATATTTTGTCGATATAACCATTAACTTCAAAGGCAACTATTCAGTTTCTTGCGTTAAATGTAAAAATATATATATATATATATATATATATATATATATATATATATATATATATATCAGGTCATCCCATAAGTTCTGTCCGAATTTTGAATAAAGAAAACAAGTGACCAAATGTTACATTTAATTACAGATTCAATCAACAATGTATTTTCCCTGATTATCTATGACTTCATTCCATCTATTAACAAGCTTACTAACTCCATTACTGTACAATTCTTTTGGCTTTGATTCGAAGAACTCACAAATGTCAGTTTTAACCTCTTCCTGTGTTACAAAAGCTGTTTCTTCCAAATGATTCTGTAAGCTACGAAACAAATGGTAATCTGAAGGAGCAAGATCGGGAGAATAAAGAATTATCCTGATGAAACATCACCTCTTTTTGATTCACTAGAGCAGGTCTTTTTTTCCTCAAAGCTTGGTTTAAACGATCTAATTGCTGACAGTATATTTGAGCATTAATTGTTGCATTAGGTGGTAAGAATTCAAAGTGGATTATTCCTTGGCGACCCCACTAGATTGAAAGAAGAACCTTTTGCCCATGAAGTTCCCTTCTCGGCTGTGGCTGGGGTCCTTCCCCTTTACCAAGCCACTGTCTACGATGCTTAACATTTCGATAAAAGAGCCATTTTTCGTCACCAGTCACAAGTCTATCCAAAAAAGGTGAAACAAGTTGGCGAGAATGGAGAGAAGAGCAGATGTAAACTCGGGATTTGAGGTTGTTTTCAGACAATTCATGAGGCACCCATTTTCCAAGTTTAGGAACTTTTCCAAATTGTTGACGATGACGATGAACAGTTGTATGGTTTGAACTGAGAACCACTGCCAATTCCTCAACTGATAAAGGAGGATTTTCTTCAACGGCTGCTTCAAGAAGCTTTTCATCAAACTCAACTGGACGTCCGGTTCGATCTTCATCTTCAAGGGTGAAATCTCCACCTCTGAATTTTGCAAACCATCTTCTGCAAGTTCTTTTATTCACACATTCCTCTCCATAAACTGTGTGAATGTTTCTAGCCGCTTCGGCTGCTGAGTTTTCTTTTCTTGAACTCATAAAGCATTATGTGCCTCAAATGATTCTTGGGTACTTCCATGTTAGCAGGGTTTTAATCAAACAAAATTTAATTTTATTGTTCTCTGAAATAAAATTTGATCAGCTTAAATGCATCTAAACAAAAGAAAAATGTTCAGCTCCATTAGACATTATAAAATACTCTTTAAATTTCGTTCATTTTAACAAAAAGTTAAAATTCGGACAGAACTTATGGGATGACCTGATATATATATATATATATATATATATATATATATATATATATATATATATAAAACAATTTAATTAATGAAATTGGAGAAAGTAAAACCAGACTTTAGACGGACAAAACGGCAATGTTTTTGTAATTAGTCAGACGTGGAGAACTAATACGTAAAAGATTTAAGTGGCTACGAAATGACTGTCAGAAGAGAAAAGAGAAATACGTAGCAGTCATGTTTTTGAAAGTTTGCACATTTCTAAGGAGTCGTCCCGTTTCTACAAGTACCCAATGCCCGGACCAAGGATCGAACGTACAATCATTAAGGTCACTAAATTCACGAAATAACGCTTTAATCTACTAAGCTATACATTCTTTGGAAACAGGGCGAGCAATAACTAAGCACTACTAAATTTATATATTTGATATGTTTTTTACGAGTTATCAACCCCTTTGTAGTTTATTTAATTTTTTTTTGTTTTTAATAATTTTATTTAAATTCAAATTATAATTTGCTAGAGGATTAAAACGTTGGTTCCTGAATTTGGTGAAGCAATAAACGGAAATTCAATCCCTGAGAAGGGTGTGGTGTATTTGAACTCAGTGGAAACATAGTGAGTAATATGTGAATACTAGTAAATGGGACTAAGATCGAATTCCAGTTCGTTATATTCGAAAATACCATTGGAAAAGTTATGAAACTATCTCTTATGTCACTCACCCACCGCCAGCCATGAAGTGGATAGCAGGACAGACTAGGTCATGTAGCCTTAATTGGTAACTTGTCTACCTAAAAATAAAATACTAACCTATTGCGGGAAAATCTTCAGTCATGAGTCGAAAGAGACATGATCGTCCAAGTGTGTATCGCGTTACGAACTTAAGTGATTCGCTACTTGAAACAACAGAAATGTGGTTCTACAGAAGGATGCTGAGGATACTAGGAACAGAATATATGAGAAATAACGAAGTTTTAGAGAATATGGAAACAAAAAAGAAACTTATACTTAACATCAGGAAGAGACAGTAGAAACTTCTTGGTTACCTTAAATGGAAGGGTGGCTTGGAAAATTTGATACTCACGGGACAGATTGAAGACAAGAGGGACAGAGGAAAACAACGCATAACCCACCTAGCGAGCTTGAGTAAATGGATGGGGGAGCAAGGTTTAGGTGAGATAACAAAAAGATCAAATTTATTAAGGGCTATATTGGACGGGAAGAGACGGTTGAAATTTCTAGGGCACATAATGAGAAAAGAGGGCTTGGAAAATTTGATACTCACAGGACAGATTGAAGACAAGAGGGACAGATGAAAACAATGCATAACATACTTAGTAAGCATCATTAATTGGATAGCGGAACTGTCTTTAGGAGAATTAACAGGAAGACAACATTTATTTAGAGCTACAAGGAACAGGAAGTTGTGGAGAGCCATGATTTCTTATGTACTGAGGAGTGACGGCATATAAAGAAGAAAAAATGAATAGCGGAACAATAACAGTCTAACCCCGTAGATGAAATAAAGGGTTTGGGCTGATGTGACAGAGTTTGGGAAAAACACACACAAACACATGTGCATATATATATATATATATATATATATATATATATATATTGAAATTGGAGTGAATTTGAACAGCGAAAGTAAATCAGAGCAATTTCTTTTACTGATGGGAAATCTGATCTAAGGCAGGAGCTGTACCCATTGGAAGTGGGTCATTAGCAGACAATGGAAATGGTCGAAATAATTTTTATTGATTAAAACTTGGAATAGATTTTGAATAGTGAAATTAAGTCAGAGCATTTTGTTTACTGGTGTGGAAATTTGATCTAGGGCAGAAGTTGTACCCATTGAATTTGGTTCATCAGAAGACAATGGAAATGGCCGAAATAATTTTTATCGATTAAAAATTGAAAGAGAGCTGAATAAGCTAGAAGGACCTTTTGAATTCACATGATTTTGGTTGAAACAGCCAAAGCCCCGTGATAATCACGTGCGACCAAGGTTCAGTTGTAACCAGCCGGATTTTTCTATATAAACGCGTAGTTATGTTGCAAAAGACAGACGGGAGAAATTTCTTGAAGAGAGAAGAGAGAGAGTTACAGTCGGGCGAGCAGGCCGACGGAAGTGGTAGACAGAAGAGAGAGAGAGAGAGAGAGACAGAAGAGGCAGACGCAAGAGTTGGGTTAGAGACAGTGGAGAGTCGAGTTGGAGACTTAAGAAGGAGAGAAAATGACATCAGAGATTGGAACGAAGCGTCCGCTAACATGTACTGTTGATATAAGTACTGCTGCTCGGCTACAACGAATATTACTCCTACTGTTACTACTGCTAAGGAGGAACGCCACTATAAACTTTAAGAGGCACACAAATCTTATTCTCTGTTTTGCAGGGAAGATGACGGCGTTTGTTTTTTTTGGATACAAGATATAATGACGATTGCTGTGTCAACTTTTGCTGAGACAGTTACGAAAGGCTATGAAAACAAAATGCCAGTAAAAACTGTCGGGATAACATTCCATCACGCAAGTCCTTGGTTTTAGTGGCTGCTGTGTGGGACTGCGATTTTAAACTGGTTGATCATCCTTCCTATTCTCTTGTTTTGCCTATCATCTGTTCCCCAACATGAAAAAACACTTAGCTGGAAATCCTTATCATAGTGATTATGACGTCATATCTGGTTTTGATTATACTCAGATATCAGTTTACCTAAAACTATGCTGTTATTAGTAAGAAGAGTTAAAAATTAATACATGCATGATTTCACAGATATAGTGTTAGTCCTTTATAGTCAGCCTATGTTTGATAAGGAAAAAAGATTATATGTACTTTACTGTTATCTGTCTGCCGATGTATAAACACGTCCATGGCTCGTCTATAAAGTGCTCATGTTAAAGTCAATTTTGCTCGAACGTCGCCAGTAAATTAAGTGACTTTGCAAAATTTGGCCAGTGCCGAGTTGGTTTTGTTCAATGCATCCAGTGTTTCTGTGTCAAGTGAGAGAATCTAATTCCGCCTTTTATCTTTTTCCTATAGGATATTCTTCAGCAGCGACACTATCATAGAACAATTTGGAATAAAATGTCTGTATTAATTGATGATCCCTGTGATACGTCGCAACGGTCGAACTGAGGTTGGTGTTCATAACTGTTGTACTGCCTCTAGGTTTTCTCCCAGACACGCTGTGGCTTCCCTCTGTCTTTTCTGCAAATATTTTCATGGCAACTGCTCTGACGAGCTACTTTCACTGGTACCCCAACTGCATGAATTTAAGCATGCTACTGTCGAAACAGTTAAATGCAACCACCTCTTCTACTCCAAGAACTTCTTATCTCGCACTTCCCGTCAGAGGAACTCCTTTCCTCTTACTTGCTTCCCTGATAGCTACAATCTTCAAATATTCAAATGTAATGTCAATCGACATCTTCTGATGCCTTGACATTGATCCCCCGTCCTTCTCTTTATCCTTTCCCCAAACACTCCTCTTTACTCTTACTTTCACCCTCTGTAACCCCTTGCGTGTTAGTGGCACTTTCGCCTCACTTGGGTTGATATGCTTAAAAAAATATGCAGTTTTCTACGTTTATTTTTAAGCCATTGTGTGTTAATCTATGTATAAATTGATGCAGATGGAATCCGTGTTATGACTTATCTGGACTTACACTGGGAACACCGTCAATTTATGCATGCGTATTCAGCCTCTTAATGTTTTGTTTTTCTCATGAACTTTAATGTTTGCACAGCAATTTTCACGACAGAAGTCAGTTGTCGGAATTTAAAAAGTCCAAAGTAACTTTGGATTTTGGGGATATTTTTCGTCAAATGACATCTTGTAGTATGCTTTTGTCAGATCCAGTTTAGCGAATATCATCATGCCTTGTAGTCCGAGAGTGAAATCGTGGATAAGTCATGTGCGCCTTCTAAACGAAGCGCTTATGTTAGCATCCTATCCCGACCAAGAGCTAGCCTCTTCAGACTCATATCAGAAATGCTCCCAGTTTTCATTTTTTTTTTACGCATACCATTCTTTAGTCCCCACTCCAACTTTGCGTCATTAGCAGATCAGGTTGGGTTCTACAGCCTTGTGTGTCAACCAGTTTAGATGAATGAAAACCTGTGGATTTAAAACCATCCCGAGGAGGGATGATTTCCATTGGGCTATTATGCTCAGGAAACATCACTGCTACTGCGACTGGACTACATATAATGCTCCTAATGACTTACGAGTTTTTTTAAGGTGTTGAAAAGGGGGTGTTGCTGCTGAAAAGGTTATCAACGCATGCTTGTCTAGCACAAATTTTTAAAGTTTACCACAGAAGCAAGTAAAGTTATTTTAGAACTGTATCCTACACCAAAATAGAAATACAATGAAGTTGTGCGAAGGCGTTATTCGTATTGAAGAACGGAGGTCTTTGGATTTGTACTTGCTAAACAGCGAAGAGACACACCTCAAGTACATGGTAAAATCCAAAAACCTTTTAAAAGTTAACCTAGAGACCAAAGTGTTATGGGGTCCACCCTTTTCGGATATAATGGACTCATCCTGCTGCCATAAAATAGCCACAGTCAGGCAGAGAAGAGGAGTCGTACATGAGTCGTACAAGAGTCGTACCGGAGTCGTTTGTCATTTATTGGATACCTATTTTTCACGCGGGATCCACAACACAAAGAAGTATGAAGGATGAGCATAATGAAAGCGAAAGATACAATTTCGTTTCATGAACAGCAAAACCATTGAGATAAAAAAAAAACATATCAATAAATTAAAAGAAATAAAATTGATTTAAAATAACAACGATTTTACAATTCGCCATTCATTTACTTAAATTTCGTTACTTTTCGTCTTTACACATTTTTGATATTTATTATTGTATTTTTATAATGAATGTGGCCCTAGCCACTAAAAAAAGGTACAAGTGAGAAATAGTGTTTAATGCGCCATTTTTAAACGTATCTAATTCCAATCAAAGACGAACTAAAACCAAATATTATTTCATACACGAAAGCTTCTCATTTATACTTACCAGTGATTCTGCCGACAGTTTGATAGCGCAATATCTTTAGGAATTTCCAGATGTACAAGTTTTATGTCGGGATGATAATATTAACAACAAAGAAACAACTTTAATATTCCTCAATGCATTGTTGTAGATTCCGAGATGAAATCCGGTCTCAAAATGAATGACAAACGTAGGAATGAAATATAGCAAATAAATGTATTGACTCAATAATACAATTGGTAATACGGTTAGTAGATCCAGAAATGCGGTTAGTAGCAATAATAATATATATATATAGTCTGGAAAATTCAGAATCGAAGTATGGCTTCCTTCTGAGTCTACGTGTTCGCAACTGTGACTCCTACAAAGCGGTTACCTCACACTCTTACTCTCTCACTGTATCACTCTATCAGTGTATTTATCGGGTATTTACCGACAGCAGTACAAATACACACTGGTCTGGTCCACTTGTATGAAAAAGGGGTGAACCCCATAACATGTATATTTACAATAACTAAAATATATTTACAGTAGACAGAAGTAAAATTAATGTTAGTATTAAAAGCCCCAGCAATCCTAACCTTGGCAGAAATAACATTTAACTAGCGGGAAAAAAAGGTGTCAGGCTGACCAGAAATATAAATAACCCAGAAACACACAATTACGCACACATTGAGACAAAGTATTAAGTGCGAAAGCTAACAGTTGAAAGTCGTGATCATGGAACTGACATCTCTCTCACCTAATAGGGGAATTAAAGTAAACAAAGGGAAAAAATAGAAGGGGACATGTCCTTACCTCCTCTGAGTTAAAACAATACAGACTAACTCAAAAGCAGAAAAGCTATCACGGAATGACATGAGTTATGCTTCGCCTAGAGACCAAAACTCCTCTTAACCGAGGAGACGCCCAAATGTTTCACCCAACACAAACGCGCAACACTCACCCACCTTTTGCATATTTTCGATCAAGGAAAATGATTCATAACTGTCTTAATTTTGAAGTTACGCTGTTGCTTAAAGAACGAGGTCAGTTGAAAAGAGGAAAACACAATTCCATGAAATTATTTCTGTCTCTACGTCCAAATTAGGACTCCCATGAGGCCAAGTGTTGTAAAGTAGTTTTCACAGTGGAGGCTTGTATTTCGCTAAGTCGGTCCTAAAAAGGGTCCGACGTACAAAACGTTAGGAACTTGAAGTAAGAGTTAATGACGCAGCAATCTAGTTGTGCTGGTTGATACTTCAATGTCCGACATCGACTGACTCACTCAACACCACTGAGCTCCACTGGCTACCGCTACTACTAATACTTATTATGTGTGGGAGAGTCTATTACAATAGAATAGGTAATGTTCTGGTATAACACCAAGTATGAACAAGACCACACAGGTTTCATTCTTCTTCAGTAAAAGCATCATATTGCCATAAACAGAACTAGCTTCAAGTAAAAAAAAAATCAAATTTAACACACGACTCATGTAGCCTTCAACTAGCCTGCACAATGGGCGTACGAAGCTGTAGTGGAAGGAGCCATATAGACTTCTCCTCATCACCTAAGCGCATGCGTAATAGCCAGTGCCGCTGAAGAGAGACTTTAGCTGAACGAGTTGGTTCTTTGTAACACCAGTCAGGTGAGTGACGCTGTCGCTGACACATTTCAATCCATGTAGTCAATTTTGACGTAATTTTCAGTTGACAATATGAATATAATACGTTTTTCTAAATTCTTCTAGTTGCTTAGGACATTTTGTTTGTTGTTAATAGTTACTTTGTTTTAATAAAATTCATTTGGTTTTTGCCTTGAAAATGTCCACATCGGACGAAACGCGCCGGCTAATAATAAAGTTTTCCTATTGTCTTTTAACTATATATATATATATATATATATATATATATATATATATATATATATATATATATATAGATCGTCAGGTAAAGTTGGCCAACTTTCCTGACGATCCGTTTAGGTGAAACCTAGGTAGGTCTGTCTGGCTCACTAGGTTTATCAGGGTCTGCTCTACGGATGTATTGTGCTCTTTTGTTAGTTGTTTACTCGTGTCGGGGTTTTTTCTTTGGGCTTTGAACCTGTATCTGTGCGATTTTTTTCGACAGACTTTCATGTTTATAACTCTTCTTTTTTTTTTTAAAATCTTTTTTTTCCCTCGAGATTGATTTGATTATAGGCAAATAAAAAATTCGAGGGTTTTTCGAAACGAGTATAGTTATCTATCTATCTATCTATCTATCTATCTATCTATATATATATATATATATATATATACACACACACACACACACACATATATATATATATATATATATATATATATATATATATTACACTAAATTAAACAAGTAATAAATAAAGATAACTTCATATATTTTCTTTATTTTTAAAGTCTTATCACGTTTTATTTAAATTTCAGTGATGATAAGATGTAAATATTTCAAATGATGCAACTACAATTTGTTCCTTTAAATACATTTTACACTCAGATAAAATATAAATTTCGTGTTTTTAACTTAATTTAAAAAGATGTCCCCACCCCCAAGGTGACTCTTGCCGTCACGTTGAGTATAAATTTAGTTCCCTTAATAATCAGGTAAAAAAACATTGTTTTGGGGGGAAAGCGAACAAACATTTTCGAGAGTAGCATCAAGTTTAAAAGACGCCTGCCAGTAAATCGTGATGACAACAGCGATCTTTGTTGAGAAGGGATCGATTAGAGGTAGCAAGAAAACCTCGATTTTTGGAAACCTAACCCTGGAAAGAGGAGCTTACGGTGTGAAATCAGGTTCTTTTTATTTGGGATATATGAAACAAGGATCTGTCGTTATTGATTCTGTTGGGGATGGGTTTGTGAATACTGGCTTCGTTGAAGGTAACTCCGCTGAATATGTATCCGGCGACAGCGGTCTTCCTCGGATGAAGAGGTTCTTCGACGGACAACAGGGAAAGAATAAAAAAGTGGGTAACATTTCAATGATGCTCACTAGAACCTTGGAAGAACAAAGAAGAGGATGGCCTTTTACCAATCAACGTACTGAAGCCGGTGAAACACAGTTGGAAAATATTTCCGCCGGAAAAAACGAACAGAACAATACGTAAGTGCTATATGATTTCCTGTATTTATTTCATTATCATTTATGTTTGTTTTTCTCTCGAAAGTAAATATGAATATAGCTGGATTCTCGTTTCCAAATATACTTGTCTGCCATGTTGTTCAGGTTGTAGATGGTTGCTCAGGCACGTTTGTGTCTCTTCATCATCTACAGGACTTTATAATGTAACTATATAAAAGAAAAAATCTGTCTTTATCGTTTTTGTTGGGGAGGGGTCTGTGAATACTGGACTTGTTGAAGATGACGCCGATGAAAATGTATCGGACAGATGATCCCTTACACCAGGGGTAGTCAACCTTTTGCTAACTATGTGCCGGCTTAGGATATTAAAATCATTCAGTGTGCCAACACCATACGTATTTTTATACAAGTCAGGGTCAATATAACTGTTCTACAATATATCTTATATAGTAATATATGGTATATATATTTTGTATATATTAAACTTGAAACAGCTAAATATCTTCTTTGCATTGTGGTAGTTATTGGTTCGGATTTCTTGATGTCATTTGCGGCTGCGTGCAATTGGAAATTGCTTGGCGTGCCACGTGTGGAATGCGTGCCGTAGGTTGCCGTGCCATGCTCTAAACAACCGGGAAAGATTAAAAGTTAGATAACACATCGGTGATGATCATCGGTGCTTCGGAAAATATATAAAACCTGGCATGACAGAGTGAGTTAATATCCTCATTGGAAAATATGCAACTTTTAAGGAAAGGAAATTGTTATGAACACCACCCAGACCCGGTTTTATGTGATTTTACAAGACACGCAGACAGAACAAACAAACCTAATCGTCCAGACATTGTTATTAGAGACTGCAAAGACAAGATGTGCCTACTTATTGATATGTCAGTCCTTGTAGACTGCAATGTATCTTTGAAGATCTTCAAAATACTATCAAAGTACAAGGACCTTGAAATCGAAATCTCAAAAATGTGGCACACGAGGACATCAACAGTTCCAGTTGAGCCTGGAGGCCTGGGATTGATTGGAAAAGATTCTGATAGACTTGTTGAAGGGATTCCTGGAAGCCCATGCCTCAAAGAAATACAAAAAAATGTTCTCACAAGTACAGCCCACACCTTACGAAGGGCTTTGTCTATGTAAAATATGTTTTTTTTCCAGTGGAAAATGTCATGATGCCATTTCTGACCTTAGGTCTCTGGTTGGGACCCGGAAAGAAACGAGTATCCACCAGAAATCCAAGAAAATAAAATACTACTACAACTACTACTACTACTACTACTAATAATAATTTTATATTCTTTGGTCAATCGCCAAAAGAGAGGCATGAAAAATGTTAAAACCTCAGAATTCTCAAACAGACTTGTGTTCATTTTCAATGGAAAATAAAATTAAGTCAGATTCCTTTTTAGTTTTGTATTTTTTTGAAAAATGATAGGGTTCAGTTGGACCTAACGAAAATATTTAAGAAAAGTTATCCCCTCGAAGGGATGAAATATAACACCCCCTTTTTGGAAGGACAGGGAATTCTGGGTATGGGAGTTCGGCCGTGACACGAATGTAACCTAAACAGATCACCGAGGCCCACATATTATCATTACGCATCCAGCGGCTCCACTCACCATCCGAACTGTATTTTCATTTAATAAAATTTGTTAATAGTTTATCCTTTCGTCTCATCTTATTTTTCTTCACACCATCACATTTCATCCCCACCACCGGAAACATAACAAAAATGAACAACGTTTAAAGTACATTGTGTTGCGCATATGTAGATTTGTTGCAGGATTTGTGACCTGAACCTTGAATAATTTAACCTTGAATAGAGAATACAGTAATTATATATGAATATCTGTCTAGGGAATGGAAGTTCATTGGATCGACCAGTAGTTGACTGGATGCCAGAGACTTCAATTTTCTGGCGTGTTTGGGTTTTTCGCAATAAGTTAATGTGTTTGAACCTGCGCGTGTGATAGTCTCCGTGTTTGGTTGATTAATTGATTTTAATGATTAAAACTACTACGTTTTTTGGTTAGATTTCTACCACTATTTAGATTAGGGAGGATTTATTGATGGAATTCTTTTGAAAATTATATTCAATAAACATACCGAAATTTCTCTTCAAACCGAAAATGTGGAAGTATATTTTAAAAATAAATTTTAACTCGTATTTATGGCGCTGTTTTTCGCAGCTAAATGAACACACTAAAAGTATGTATCTAGCTTTATCAATAATATCGTCTGGATGGTTGAAAAGGATTTAAGGGATTTTATAGATAATCTAATAATATATGATATTATTAAGTCAAAATATATGATATTACTAAGTCAAAACTATATTATTATGTCAAAATATATGATATTATTAAGTCAAATATATGATATTATTAAGTCAAAATATATGATATTATTAAGTCAAAACTATATTATGAAGTCAAAATATATATTATTAAGTCAAAATATATGATATCATTAAGTCAAAATATATGATATTATTAAGTCAAAATATTTGATATTAATAAGTCAAAACTATATTATTAAGTTAAAATATATGATATTAAGTCAAAACTATATTATTAAGTCAAAATATATTTTATTATCAATCTAAATATATGATATAATTAAGTCAAAACTATATTTACTAATCGTAAATTGGAAAGTTGAGTACAAATCATCAAACACCGATATTTTTAAAAGATTTTTTTATGTGATGAACGTGCTGATTTTCTGTATACAGTCGACCGTACACGACAATATCAGAAAATAAAAACGATAACTATCGTAAATTTACAGCTAAAAATATTTAAGATTCAATGAAACATTAGATAACGGAGAATATTTTCTTAAATTTTTAAGATTACTGAGTACTTAAAAATTATATTAAAAAGACACTCAAGTTAATTAATTTTTTAGCGCCTAAATCTCCCCACAACATGAGACGAATGTTGATCTGTCATCAAGCTGTCAAACCCGAGAACACCTTAAATAAACAGCTTCTATCGGGTTAAGAAATGCATTTCTGCCATATCTTAAACTTAAAGTAAATAATAGTTGTTTAAAATTAGATTAATTATGCTTTAAATCAGTTAATATTTCTCAAATTAAGTTTCAGAAAAGTACATTTTAATTTTGGAAGATTACAAGGAATTACATTGCGATGAAAAACGACTGAAAATGGCGCTAATCAGCTATTTTAGAAAAAAAATAAGCTCCTTCCAATCAAAATGAGTTTTTGAAAATATACAGCAAAGTATTTTGCTTATTGGAAATATTAAATTTAATCTATTGGCTTGAAATTTAAACTAAAATAAACGTATCATGAAAGATTTATCATTTTTAAAAATTCTTTTTAAACCTAAGGTATCGTTTTATTTGAAATTTTGTATTTTTTAAATTTTTTTCAGTCGAATCTCAATCTCCTTCCAGCTATGGGTAAATAGCAGGACAGACTGCCGTTTTCTGGGGGAATTGATATAAAGCACGTCCTAAAGTTAGTAGCAAATTCACTCTGGATGCGGTATAATTACCTGGTACATGTTAGAGGGTATCCCTGAGGATCTGCCTAAGGGCAGTCTCGTCTCGTCTTGATAAATTGACTCCGTTTTTACGTGTTCTATAGGGAACTTTTGCCCGAACCTACGGGCTAGGATACCCCACTTTAAAACTCGGCCTTGTGCCACATCTTGCTGCATGGATGCGGGCCGAATACTGATCATATTCGGTCGGGTCGGCCATCGGAGAAGTCTCTTGTTTATTTAGACCCGAAACTTCTAGTGACATGGGAGCAACAACACTGACGACGGCACTTAAAGGTGTAATTTTAGCAGTTTGAATGTTTAAAAAAGACTGCGAGCTAATAGAATGGCATCGGCTACAAAAATATATATATATATATATATATATATATATATATATATATATATATATAACGGACTCTCCCGTCGGTTTCGACATATGAGGATCTGACAGCTTATTGATTCAGATATGAAAGTTTGTGCGATAATCAAGTGGCATTTAAGACCCGCTAGTGATTTACAAGGAGGCCACATATGGAGCAAGTGTGAGGATTGTGAGATGAGATCACTGTTAGATTGGCTGACCTTTTAGATATTGCTCTCGCTTCTTGAAGATGATTCAGACAAGCAGATTGAAAATTGCTGAGTCCACTAAACCACGTTGATCTCCATTCTACCCGTTCCAAATCTAAGCGCTCAAGGGTGTTATGTGGTATATTGACTGCTGACACACACACACACACACACACACACACACACACACACACACACACACACACATATATATATATATCGTGAAATAGAGAGTTTGAGTGAAAGAAATCCGCGATGCTGTTTAATTGACATTTTAGTGTCTTTTCTCTCTCCCATAGACAAACACCATCGGAGGAAATGACATCGAAAGATGTTTCGAAAAAAACAGACAATCTAAAATTATCGACCAGAGACTATTTGATGGCCCTGTCGGTTTTTTACATTACTTTTGTGATCTACGGCAACATGGAGGCCTTGTCCGTGCTGACAGTAGAATGGATAAAAGAATTTCCAAATTCGAAATCTCTCATTTTATTCGTTCCCAATTTGTCCCTTTCATTGATGAGTGCAATCGGTAAGTCAGTAAAAAATTCTTTGCGTTTTCTTTCATTTAGTTCCTTTGTGAAGACGAAAATGTCTTCAGGTGTAATTCGAATGAAAAACAAATCAATTTTACGAAAAGTCTACACTATACGGTAAATAACGAATCAGATGGCTTTCGTTTCAATTTCCTCAAATATGCATGATGACGGGCTACAACGTGTCCTTTGAACTTTTGAGCCCACTGGCTTGTTTCCCTTTCGTCATTGTCCAAGATTAAATAGTCCCCATAATTCAAAT